CCCCCGCCCCCACTTTGCGCGCTGGGGATGTAGGTCTCGTCATAGTCCTCCTTCAGAATGAGCTGGTCTCCAATCCGGATGGCTGGCCCAGCCATGCCCGGCCCCGGAGCACCCGGCTACCGGCGGCAGCGGCGAGAAGGAGGAGGAGAGGGAGACCCGCGCCCCTTGCCCGCGCAGGCAGGCAGGCAGCGAGCGAGCCCACTCCCCCGCCGGCCCACATATTGGGATATGTTATTGTGTGACCTTATGACACACTTCAGGTGATGGCAGGGGGTGTGGCCTTATGACACACTTCCGGTGATGTGAGGGGGTGTGGCCTTATGACACACTTCTGGTGGTGTCAGGGGGTGTGGCATATGCTAATGAGTTATGCTAATGAGTTCCCCTAGCTCTTTTTCTACGAAACGACCCCTGCTCTTAGCTATTTTAGTGGCCTTTGTTTAACATCCTTGCACCGCTGGCTGCCCAGTTTCTATTTACAACCAGATGTGTGTGTGTGTGCATGAGTATGTGAAAATGTCCCTGGTTAGTAGGGTGCTTTCTCCCTTCCACCAGCAGTTTCTCCCTCCTGCCTGTGCGCAAGGAACACTGCAACTGGTAGTGCTTGTCACATAGTGAAAGTACAGATCTCCCTATCTCTGCAGGTCATCTTTGTAAACACACAAGAAGGAGGAGGAGGAGGAGATTGGATTTATACCCCGCCCTTCACTTGGAGTCTCAGAGCACCTTACAAAGTCCTTTCCCTTCCCCTCCCCACAACAGACACCCTGGGAGGGAGGCGGGGCTGAGAGAGCTCTGACAGAAACGGCTCTTTTTCAAGGACAGCTCTGACAGAACTGTGGCTTGCCCAAGGTCATCCAGCAGCTGCAAGTGGAGGAGTTCTCCCAGATTAGGGTCCGCGCACTTAACCACTACACCAAACAAGCACATTCACCCTGCCATAGAGAAGGGCCTGGGCTGGGTCGCCAACTCACTCTTCAGAATTTTTTTTGTTCTGCTCCGCCGTGCCTTCTCGTTGGCTCCAGGCTCTCACAATATGATCCCCTTTATGTAGGTCCACATCATAGTAAAGGTAAAGGTTCCCTTGCTCGAAAGCCAGTTGAATCCGACTCTAGGGTTGCGGTGCTCATCTCCATTTCCAAGCCAAAGAGCCAGCGCTGTCTGAAGACATTTCTGTGGTCATGTGGCGGGCATGACTAAACACCAAGGCGCAAGGAACGCTGTTACCTTCCTACTGAAGTGGTACCTATTTATCTACTTGCAATTTCTTGCTTTCGAACTGCTAGGTTGGCAGGAGCTGGAACTAGAGACGGGAACTCACTCCGTCATGCGGCACACTCGGGTCTCAAACTGCTGAACTACCGACCTTCCACAGCCTGCAGTTCAGTTCACACCATAGATTCAGTGAAATAAATGGCCATAAATATCCTCAAGCATATTCACAGTAATGGGGTTGCAGCCTCGGTCGGACAGGCCCCCAAATCTCCAGGCCCAGGTAAAGTGTCACCGCCACCTGTACGTGGGCCCAGAATTTTGTATCTGCCTTTGGCCATGGTAATTTCAACTTCCAATATCCTTATAGGGTTGCATGGTCTGTTGCACTACACAGGGGTTATTACTGTGATAAGTGCGCTAAATTAAATAATACAGTACTGCAAAAATCAGAAAATGTATGCTGTTTAAATAGGTTAAAGTGATATGCTTTTTTTTACAAGGTTGGAATACAAAAATACAGTCAGTTTCAAATAAACAGAAGTGGTTTTTAACGAAGGAAATGATGTTAATGACGTGCTCCGGAATGTCCTGTGTCGTTTCGACATTCCTTCTTCTGAACAAGATTCTATCTACAAATAAACATTTACAACAAGATTTTTCTTCAAGGATACTCCAATCCAAATAGCCTAATTAATGTAGAAGACAATAGGGCCATAGATATGAAGAATTTAGATTTGTAGTACTGGAAATAATCAAGAGCAATCCCTACTCCAGACAAGACACAGAAGATCTTACTGCGCAGGGAGGCTTATTGGATGTATAGATTAAACACATGTCATCCTCATGGTTTGGATCTTTCTTTGGATCTTTCTAGCAAACCCTGACTGTTCCCTGGAAGGCCAGAGATTGAAGCTGAAGCTCAAATACTTTGGCCACCCAATGAGAAGGGAGCACTCACTGGAGAAGACCCTGATGCTGGGAAAGATTGAAGGTCAAAGAAGACGAGTACGGCAAAGGATGAGATGGTTAGACAGTGTCATAGATGCAACGAACATAAAATTGAGCCAACTTCAGAGGACGGCGGAAGGCCGGAAGGCCTGGCGGGATCTGGTCCATGGGGTCGCGAAGAGTCGGACTCGACTGTGCAACTGAACAACAACAACAAAAAGCAATTTGTAATTGTCTATGAAATTATGGTTTCTTCGGTTCCTCTATGGAACTTTGTCCCTAGTTCCTAAATGTAAGTAGTTTCAGGATGGGAAATGTAATATTTGCTTCTATTCAGCACTTCTATTCATGTTTAAAATGGAAAATGTGTGACACCTGTTAAGGCATTCCATTTGACTGTAACTCGCCCGAAATGAATTTTCTACTAGCAATTGTGCTTTGTTATTGGTAAGTTATTTAAACATTTTGAAAATGTATATTGTATAGGTAGTTCTTACTATAGTGATGGTTTGCCAATTTATTCTTTATAGACTTTTGAAGAGCCAGTTTGGTGTAGTGATTAAGTGCGCGGACTCTAATCTGGGAGAACCGGGTTTGATTCCCCACTCCTCCACTTGCACCTGCTGCTGTGACCCTGGGTCAGTCACAAGCTCTGGCACAGCTGTCCTTGAAAAAGAGCACTTTGTGTCAGAGTTCTCTCAGCCACTTCTCTCTTCTTCTTCTGAAGAAAAAATATGTGAGCATCAGGCTTCATTTCTACTCTTATAGATGAGACAAAAAACTGGAAATTATCTGTATGTATAAGAATTTTTATTTGAAACTGACTGTGTTTTTGTATTCCAACCTTGTAAAAAAGGCATATCACTTTAACTTATTTAAACAGCATATATTTTCTGATTTTTGCAGTACTGTATTATTTAATTTGGCGCACTTATCACAGTAATAATCCCTGTGTAGTGTATATTGTATATTGTATAGGTAGTTCTTACTATAGTGATGGTTTGCCAATTTATTCTTTATAGACTTATGAAGAGCCAGTTTGGTGTAGTGATTAAGTGTGCGGACTCTAATCTGGGAGAACCGGGTTTGATTCCCCACTCCTCCACTTGCACCTGCTGCTGTGACCTTGGGCCAGTCACAAGCTCTGGCACAGCTGTCCTTGAAAAAGAGCAGTTTGTGTCAGAGCTCTCTCAGTCCCACCCACCTCACAGGGTGTCTGTTGTGGGGAGGGGGAGGGAAAGGAGTTTGTCAGCCGCTCTGAGACTCCAAGTGAAGGGCAGGGTATAAATCCAATCTCTTCTCTCTTCTTCTTCTGAAGAAAAAATATGTGAGCCTCAGGCTTCATTTCTACTCTTATAGATGAGACAAAAAAACTGGAAATTATCTGTATGTATAAGAATTTTTATTTGAAACTGACTGTGTTTTTGTATTCCAACCTTGTAAAAAAAGGCATATCACTTTAACTTATTTAAACAGCATATATTTTCTGATTTTTGCAGTACTGTATTATTTAATTTGGCGCACTCATCACAGTAATAATCCCTGTGTAGTGTAATATCCATATACTGTGTACCAGGTTTGTTCCACTAGCTGGTAGGGTATGGGGTGAACTTACCAGGAGCGGGGACGGAAGAAGCCAGAAATCAACGCAACGTGCCTACGTTTCCTGGAAATGATGTACGCGCATAGGGGATAAGCAGGGGTCATTTCGTAGAAAAAGAGCTAGGGGAACTCATTATCATAACTCATTAGCATATGCCACACCCCCTGACATCAGGGGCCCGGCGGTGGACCTGCAAGGCCAGTGGGAGTGCAAGGAAGTCCCGCCAGGGCCCTCCCTGGCCCCAGGCACGCAGGGGTGGGGAGAGGCGGGAAGGAAGCAACTTACCCTCCCTCTTCTCCTGCCTCCTCCTGGCTGAATGAGGGCTGGAAGCGGGGCGGCCGGAAGCAGGGGGCAGGGCTTCGTCATGTGCCCCGCCCCCCTGCACCTCACCCGGGGGAACTGCGTTCCCCCGCATTCCCCCCCGAAATGACCTCTGGGGACAAGGCTGTGGTTTTTGGGCAAAACCTCTACCATAGAATTTTGCCCCCCAAAAAACCCCGAATCCCCCCCCTGACGTCACCAACGTTCTTACGTCACCTCCGGGCGATTTAGGCATGTTGTGCTTTTTTAAGGCTTCTTCTCTGTTTGGGGGGGGTGTAATTCTAGCGGAGACACCCGAAACAAGGGGACCCCTGCCCCCACCAGGGGGTCTGGCATTCCTATATCCTTACGCCCTAACTTGGACGGCCCAAATGATCCAGATCTCATCAGACCTCAGCAGCTAGGTGGGGGTCAGTGCAGGTTAGTACGTGAATGGGAGACCACCAAGGAAGTCGAGGGTCGCTACGCGGAGGCAGGGAAAATGGCAAACCGCCCCTAGATGTCTCTTGCCTTGGATACCCTATGGAGTTCCCATAAATAGGCTGCGACTTGACAGTGCTTTCCACCACCCACAAACTTACGATTACATTCTAAAACATACTTAACGCCCACTAAGACTCAGCAAATGAGAAAATCAGCTGGACTCAGACGAGGCAAAGGCACCTAGAAATCCAACGGATCGTCCGTATCAGTAAGGGATCAGGTTTCTAATCTGCTCTGCATCTAAGGGGAGATCATTTTCCAAAGGAGCGTTTCCGGTTTCTTCTTCCGGTGAGGACAGGAGTCTGCAGCGGCTGGAGGGGACACACGTGTCTTTCTAGGAGGGGACGGGGGTCACCAGCAGGGACTGTTGGGCCTGCTGGGGTCTTCATCAACTGGGGTACCTTAGGACGTGCTCCTTTTCCCTCTCCCATCACAGTCCAGTCCTGAGGAAGAGGAAGAAGGAAGCAGCTGAGAACCCAACCGTGATGTAGCTGATGTGAAGACCGGCTGCCCCGTCGTGGTTGCAGAGGTCCGTATTGCAGCAGGAAACCGGGCGTGTCAGACCAATATCGTCCTCACCGGATGGGATGCACTTCGAAGAACAAGCTCGTTTGACGGTGTAATCGCCCTGGAATGGATATACTACGAAACAATGAGCAAAAATAAAACAGATTAATCCTGTAGAAATGTATGCCGTGATTCTTTTTCTTTCCCCTTGTAAATGGTCTTGATTATATGCTTTGGCCCTTAGTTATACAAGGCGGGCAGCTTTGGTCCATTCCTTTCCTTCCTGGGAAAGCTTTCATAGAACCACAGGGTTGGAAGGGACCTCCAAAGCCATTCATGCAGGAAATTTACAAATACCTTTCCCCCACCCCCCACCCCCAGTGACCCCTGTTCCACACCCAGAAAAACCCTCCAAACCCGCCAGGATCCCCAGCCAAGCTGGCCTGGAGAACAATGGCTTCCTGACCCCAAAGTGGCAATCAGCATTTCCCTGGGTGTGTAAGAAAGGGCCACAAGAACTAAGCACTGAGGCAACCCTTTGAGCTGTTTGGGCTGGTTGCCACGGAGACTACACACTAGAAGCTGGAAAACACAGCCTCAGAATCAAGGTAAACAACGGAGCCAAAGGTCGGATAGCCGGGAAGTCAATTCAAGGTTGCAGGTTTCAAGGACAGGGAGTGGCTGCTACACACACAGAAGCAGGTCTGATTACGCAGAGTTACTGCCACACTGAAGCAGGAGCAAGGAGTGTTTTTGAGCAGGTCCTCCCTTCCCTGGGAGTTGAGTCTGCAATGGCTTACAGCTCCTCTCGTTGCCTTTGCAGGAGCTGGAGTCTGGCCCGCCTTCTTCACTCCTGCATAGTCAGCCTCTGGCGTGCCCTACGTCTGGGGCGCTCAGGAGAACCAGGCAGGGAGTCTGGCCTCGGGGTGTCTGCAACTGGGGGTGCCGGGCCAGGCACAGGACCCATCTCTCCTTCTGGCTGCACCTTTTGTGCAGCTACTGGGGACTCCTCCTCCTCAGGTGCTCTTGGGCTGACTCCAGAGGAGGCTGGGTTGCTCCCTGCCTCTTCCTCATCTGAGGAGTCATCAGCCTCAGCAGAGCCAGGACCCACGACACCCTTCCTGACCTCCCTCTCGTGACCTACCTGAGTTCACACAATCTGCATTGCTGTCAGATGGCCAGTGTTATGTATTGTTATCAGGGGCAGATTAACCATTAAGCCGACTAAGCACGTGTTTAGGGCACCAGGGCCAAAGGGGGCACCACAAAGTTGGGGAAAGGGTGAAAAGAAATTTACGTGGCCCAAGCTTGGCTTAGCTTGTACAGTCTATTGTGTTATCATAGGAATAAATTTTTGTATCGCTGCAACCTGCATTGTATATCTGGTCAGACAGGTCAACCACTAAAATGGACTGGGTCAGTGTGGAAAGGAGGGGGGCACCAAGATTGGTCAGTGCTTAGGGCACCAGTGAGCCTTCATCCACCCCTGATTGTTACTAGGCTTGCCAAGTCCCCCCGGGGAGCGGGGAAACCTCCGCCCCAGAGGCCTGTTCCCCGCTGCCGCCGGATCAGGCCCCAGGGGGAACTCCACCCCGACGTGCATGTCACCAGGAAGTGATGTGACCATGCCGGGCATGCTGGGGGTGGGGCCAAGGTCATCCGAGGGAAAACTCTATGGTTTTCCCTCGGATGGTCGTGGCCCCGCCCCCAGCGTGCCCGGCATCGTCACATCACTTCCTGGTGATGTGGATGCGGCGCACGTGCACACACTCCAGGATCAGCCCAGGAGTCCCCCGCTTCAGAAGAAGGGGGGACTTGGCAACCCTAATTGTTACTGAGACGGAGCTTCGTGCCAAGCTTCATAAACTGCAAGGATCCTGAGCGTCTCCCTGGGAGCCAATCAGTAGAGGACGTATTTTGGAGGGAATCATTGCTATTGGCTATTACTATAGAGAGGTAGTTATATTGAAGCAGCTAATGCCTGAGCCTTGTGTTAGATTAGCATTGCTTGCTAGCATGATTGAGCGCTTGCCCTGATTGGCTGCCCAAAAAACAGACCAATTAGAGAAGTCTAGAATGAAACAAGAAATGCAAATAAGGTAGGCTGTAGTGTTCACTGTGATTGGTTATCACTGTGTCAGGAGGTGTGGTTTTGGCTGCTCTCGGCTGTATATAAGTGGGGATTGTTGCTGGTGGTTTTGCGTGTCGTGTTCTGAGCTGAATAAAAGAAATCACTGCTGAGAAGAGCTGCCTCAAGCGCAGTATTTAATAGCCATCGAGCCTCTGCTTGGAAACCTCCCAAGAAGCAGAGCCCACCACCTCCCGAGGAAGCCTGTTCCACTGAGGAACCACTCCAACTGTCAGGAAGTCCTTCCTCATGTTTTGCCAGAAACTCTTCTGATTTAATTTCGACCAATTGGCTCTGGTCCGACCTTTTGGGGCAACAGAGAACAACTCTGCACCATTATTGTGTAGTGGGTTGACCGCGTGGCTAGGCCCACTCAGCTCCCATAACATGGTACACGCTTGACTCTTACACAACAAAGACAAAGACAAACGGCCAGGAGGCCAACTATATACATATCCAGGGGACACCCCTGGATCCCATTGGGAGGTTCGAACTTCCCTCCCCGTTTCTATTGGCTCCCTGTCGGAGAGACCAAGAGACCAGTTCCCATTGTCCATCCAGGGTCAAGCCCTGGGTAGTCGCTGGCCCCTGGTGGCGGCCAGCAGACACAACAACCATCCTCTCTATAGGACAGCCCTTCAAGGACTTGAAGATGGTTATCGTATCCCCTCTCAGTCGTCTCCTCTCCCCTCTCGGTGATTAAAATCGGCAAACCCTCTGACCTAGGCGGACCAGGTTCCTCCAGGCAGCTGGTGAGGGGTGGGGGTGAGCTCACCAGGAGCTGGGAGTTTCTTCCCATGTTTCGGTGATGTGCCCACGTGACTTCCAATGTGACCCGGAAGTGATGTAGGCATGTCGTGGACATCAGGGCAACGCTCTCTTTTTTGGGCAAAATCTCAATGGTAGAATTAGCTTCCACCACGGAGTTTTGGCTAGGGTTGCCAAGTCCACTTACCCTTGCCGGCGGGGGAGCCTTGCCGGGCTCCGGGAGCTCTCCCGTGACATGTGTGTATGCACGCGCCGCCAGCACGTCACAGGAAGTGACGTGCTACGTCGCTCACGTTGAGGGCGTGGCCCAGATCATCGGAGGGAAAACCATAGAGTTTTCCCTCCGACGATCTGGGCCACACCCCCAATGTGAGCGACGTGGCTGCATCACCTTTGGTGACACAGCTTCGGGGGGCGGAGTTCCCCCTGGGGCCTGATTCCGCGGCGGCGGAAATCGGGCCTCCAAAGCGGGGGTTTCCCCGCCCCCACTTGGCAGCCCTAGTTTTGGCCCAAAAACCAGAGTGTTGCCCTGATGTCCACGACATGCCTACATCACTGCCAGGTCACGTAGAAATCAAGTAGGCACATCACTGAAATGTTGGGTCTCTCCCTTGTTTGGTGGGTAGTTCCCCCTCAGGATGAGGAGGAGGAGAAGAAGAGGAGAGGATTTATACCCCGCCCTTCACTCGGAGTCTCAGAACGGCTTACAAACACCTTTTCCCTTCCCCTCCCCACAACAGATGCCCTGTGAGGTAGGCAGGGCTGAGAGAGCTCTTTCAAGAACTGCTCTTTCAAGAACAGCTCTGACAGAACTACGACTTGCCCAAGATCATCCAGCAGCTGCAAGTAGAGGAGTGGGGACTCAAACCCGGTTCTCCCAGATTAGAGTCCGCACTGTACTAAACCACTCACCAGCCAACTGATCTGCATTGGAGAGTAGGGGTCTGACAGCAGGGGATCCCTGCCCCCACCAGGGTATCTGGCATCCCTAAGGCCATCCCTGTTGTGAAGACTCACCATCCTCTCGGGAATGCATTTCCGTCCTGCACATGGTGTCATTTGCTGTACAGTTGACTATGTCCAGGCATTTGTCAGCGCTTACGGGGTCCCTGCAAGAATAGCACTGCAAAGCGTGGGCTGTGAGCAAGAAACAAAGAAGTATTAAGAACATAAGAGACGCCAATGTTGGATCAGGCCAAAGGCTCATCCAGTCCAACACTCTGTATCACACAGTGGCCAGAAATACCAGGTGCCGTCAGGAGGTCCACCAGTGGGGCCAGGACATTAGAAGCCCTCCCACTGTTGACCCCCCCCAAGCACCAAGAAGACAGAGCATCACTTGCCCCAGAGCCCCTATCTATACCTTGTGGCTAATAGCCACTGATGGACCTCTGCTCCATATGCCTATCTAATTCCCTTTTGAAGCCGTCCATTCATTCGCATATGGTAATATTTCCACAGGGGTAGCCATGTTGGCCTGTTGCACTGAAAATAAACAGGAGTCTTCTAGCACTTTAAGGATGAACAAGGTTTTATTCTAGCACAAACCTTTCCTAGACAGGAGCCGGTTTTGTCAAATGCATGCAGTGGGCCCTCACCACAAGATATCTCCAGACGATAGAATTTCTAAAAGAAGATGTGAGCCATAACTGCGTTCCTGATACAAAGGGAGAATACAATTAGAGTCCACAATTCCTTTGTTTAAAAAAATTCAGGAGTGCAATAGTTCCACGTCATATGTGAGTGCAGCTATGCACGGCTGGCTTCACTGCCGCGTTCACGTTACACTTCTTCAGATAGCTGGCACTCTTTAGCTGTGAACTGAAAATTATATTTCCATGTCATATTTACTATATTACAACATATTAACTGTTATCCCCAGGGATAACAATTATATTTCCACATCATATCTCTCCCTTATAATAATTGAATAGCAACGTTCTATTTCGCAACATTCTAAATTTGGCCCCTTTAGTGTTAGGCCAGAAAAACTGCCACTCAGAAGACACTGGCTGGGTTGACTGGCTGCTTACATACCTCATAGGGGGGAGGAGAATGATGTCAGCTGCCCTTTCCCTAGGCAGAGGCTGTGGGGGGGGGGTTGTAAAACTTAAGACAGACAGGCAGATAAAGGTTGGCTGATGGTTGCCAGGAAAGGGCATAGGGTTGCCAACTCCAGGTTGGAAACTTCCAGGATATTTTAGGGATGAAGCCTGCTGTGGGTGGGGTCTGAGGAGGAGGAGGAGGAGGAGGAAGAGGGGGACCTCAGACAGATACAATGCCATACTGCCCACACTCCAGACAAGCTGTTGCCAGTCTCCAGGTGACAGCTGGAGAGATCTTAAAGCTTTGGTGCTAATTCAAAGTGTTGCAATTTATCAACAGAGTAGTGTTTTGGAAAATCTTGAGGAATTGTTTGGTGCATTTACGATGGGGCTCCTGGGGAACTATTGTTGCCAATCTTGGCCCAGCAGCCATCAAACCATTCTCTTCAACCCCCTGCTGTGCAGCTGACTTTCCCCTAGGGTTGCCAATCTCCAGGTGGGACCTGGAGATCTCCCACTGCTACAATTGATCTCCAGATGACAGAGATCAGTTCCCCTGGAGAAAATGGATGCTTTGGAGGGTAGACCCTATGACATTATACCTGCTGAGTCCTTCCGCCCCCCCCCGCCCAATGCTGCCCTCTACAGAATCCACCCCCCAAACCTCCAGGTATTTCCCTCCTTAGAGCTGGCAACCCTACATTCCCCTCAGTGCCTGTTGGGAGTGGGTGGTGGGGGAGGGGAAGGGAGTGGGCGACCGGAGGCTTCTGCCTCCTGTCTCCGGTCCTGGAGTGGGGGTGGTGG